TTCTACACAAAATAATACTATCAAAATCTCAAACAAGTAAACAAATGCAAAGTTGCCAACACATTTTGACTGTTAGCTGTAACCAGCACCCGCGCACAGCACAGCAAGGAGCTCTGATATTGCACTCCTTTTAAAAATTCATTGCCCTTTTCTGAGCTGTAATACAGCAGCTCCCCCACTCAATGCCAAGTGCCTTACCACAGAAAGAGATTGCAGAGACGAGAAAAGGAGCGCTCTGCCTCCTTGGAAATGTATTACACGAAATGAAAAGCTTTGTTGCCTGCTGCTGCAAAGCATTGCACTCAAGATGTGCTCTGACTTTTGGAAAGGAGCTCTTGGTTCTAAAAATACTCTCAGTTCCAAATTCAGTGGTATCAGAGGAATCATGAGTTCTTTTGTATGGGAAAGAAGTTCCTTGCGGAGGCTGTGTGAAACCATATGGGAGATGCTGCTACATACTGATATACAGTATACTGGCATGATAGTCTGCCTTAACTTTACAGGCCCTAGCACCCACCTAAGAAATTGTCACAGCTGAGTTAGCCGTTAACAAACTTTCATTTTTTTTAACAATACTGAAATCATGTCCACTGGAAACACACAAACAAGTATTACAGCAATTTGTTTTAAAAATAAACAAAGCACCTTTATAGACTCTTCAGATCAGCACCCTGGAAGTGATCTCTTTCAAGCTGTTTGGTGTTACTTTGATTAGAAAAAAAAATAACAGTTGTAAAAGGTGCAGGGTTTTAAAGTAAGACTAACAACTCAGACCAGACACGGAATAAAGGTCCGAAGACGGGCCTCCGCTATGCAAATACAGAAGAATGAAAGATGCAGAAAATGATGAGATTACCAACAGAAATGAGTACTGTCAGCATAATAGTGTTGTTACAGAGAACAGTGCTGTAGTTGTATACTGGACCTTGTATCAAGTCCTTGGCCTGCTGGGAGACATTCTTCCATGCTTCTCCTTCGAAAGAGAAATCACCCTGTTTGATCTTCTGCATGATCTCCTCAGCGCTGGTATGAGTGAGGGTCTTTTCCTGACACTGGAAGGGCACTTGTCCTGATAGCATTGTGTACTGTGGGGAAGAGGCATAGAAATGACTGAAAGTGAAGATCTGAAATTTCCACATAAAAACAAAATACTTGCCCCTGCACCTGTCTACATTTCAAGTCAACCACTGGGTGGTTTGCACATGTTAAATTTGATCTGTTACGGATCTCATCATGAAAGCTAAGCATCAGCAACAGTGTGCAGTTTGTTTTAGACACTCACAGGTCTTTGTGTAGTTTACAATTCTCACTTTCAATTCACTCAGTTGTGACTTGTCTCACTTGATGATCATGTCCATTGCAGGGCACACACGGACAAAAATCTGGATTTTTTTAACTTCTGCCAGAACTTAGCGCACCTCAGACATACAGTAGGCAGCAGCAATAAGTCAGTGTGACCAAGAGAGTTCACTAATTGTCACAACTTGGAGAGAAAGTACTGCTGTTCCAAATTGCATAAGCCCATATATTTCCAGTTACTGAACACCTGTGATCAATTAATGTTTCTCACAAGTACGTTTTCACTGTCTCTTTCAAAGATGCAGCGTCCCGTTACTAGTTTCTTTATCTGCTCTGCAGACATTACTTGGTAACACGAGTATCACTGCAAGTGTATGCTTCAGATGATGGACTGTTCAACTAAAGGATTATCTGAAACTTTGTTGCTGATTAGTTACAAGCTGTGCCAATGAAGGAATGAAAGTGCAACTGCCTACTATCACCTGAAATTGTGATTTACAGTAGGAACAGCAAACACCTTGTCTGTTCCTAGCTGTAACTGGATTGACAGCAGTGTGTAGAATTCCAGCAGGAGTAATAAAGCAGACAATATATATAAAATAATTATTAACCAAAAATAGAAGAAATGCCCCTTTCCTTCAAAGCAGTATCACAACTAATGCAACGTATTTTAAAAAAGCACTATATAAGTCACCCGCTGTCTGTGTTCTCGATTTGCAATGAGTCCACTGATCTGTAGTTGCATCTCAGCACCACAGGTGCTGTCTTTCCTGTCTCTTTCCACAATGATTACATGTGATCAATTGTAGCAAAACCTTTCTGGGTTTTTTGTTCATCTAGGAATTTCACTTTTCTTCCATAATTTAAGTGTTTTAAAATGCATGGTGCACATGCTCTTCTTTTCTCAGTCAATCCTAGACATAAAGATCCGGAAGAGGAACAACTGCATACACAGCACAAAAGCAGTGATGCCAATGTCAAGTGATGAACTACTTCTCACCTCTTTCCAATTTGCATTAGTAGTGTTTCACTAGGTGTTTAGAAAATAAGTAAAAGTGAATAAACTAAAATAATAAGCCTTAAAAACCATACATTTCAAAGAAATATTACAGGAGTCTGCTTCAGCAGTTTTTTCTTCTAAGCTCCATATGCTTCTCTGAGTCCTCCAGATTTGGTAGCTATACTGATAAACCCTGCTAAAAAAAAGCATGGTCTCAAACTGCCCTCCTTAAGGGTAACATGTTTCTCTGGATTGTGTTTAATCAATCAGATAATTGCAACAATTAAGCATTTGAGTGGTCAAGTAGATCAAATAGACAACTTCAAATAGTACCTCATTCTCATAGATACACCAAAGGTATCACTGATGGGTCAATTACATTATCATATGTATAGTGCACAGGAGGTCCTCCAGGACTTCTGGTGCTGGTTGTGCAAGATGGTTTCTCTCTTATACTGGGGGTTAGAAATACAAATATTTCTAATATTTCAACACTGAACTTCATAGCTTCACCTTTTCACCTCTCTATAGCATCTGCCAGTGGCTGACATTAACCTTTGTTGGACATTTTCTTAAGCAGATGAGACTAGATTTGTTTCGACGTCTTTGTTTTCGACAGCTATTCAGACTTAGTGCAAATCCCTTTTTTAAGCTACAACTGGGCTGGCAAGTCTGTTCAAGACAAAGTCCACTTCCAGCAGCACAGTCCCATATCCAATTCCCAACCACGCTGGGCAGAAATACACAGTCTTCGATATTTTTATAGCGAACACTTGGATAACATCTGCAAAGCGCAAAAAGTACTTACCAGTTGTTTCTGACACTTTACTTCTGTGGGTATTTGCTAGTTTTTAGTTTTTGCTGCTTTGTATTTCTTTCATCACATGACACTACCTAAATCAGCGATGCCTTCCTGAAATTCTAACTTTGAATGCAGGCACTTTCATTGTAACAACAGCTTGGCCACAGCGACCAGGTATAACCAAAACAGGGCACAAGGACACTTTTGCAACAAATTCCATATCTCATATTGATGTGGACTGTCAAAGATGTCTGTGATAGTCTCTATTGCCATTCTTGCTTCCTCAATGAACCTAATGTGCGCTTTTTCAACTCTTCCAGAAGGAGGGGAATGATGTTGAATGAAAGGTTGTGGGTTCAGAACCTTACTGTAGTACCCCTGGATGAAGTACTTTACCCCAATTGCTCCAGTCTACCCAGCCGTACAAGTGGGGACCGGTATTGCTGATGTCCCAATGGACTGGAGCCCCATCCAGAAAGGGGAGAGTCGTGTGGCCTGTCATCTGCTTAATGTCAGAGAAATCAGGATGAGCTCTGGCCTAAGAAGCCACTGTGGATCTGATATGGACTTAAACTCTTAATTTACAGCCATCAAGAAATGACAATATAATATACTGGCCAAACAAGAGCAAGGCACACGCAATAAGCTCTTGTTTTTTTCTACCCTTTTCTCAGTCTAGAGCTAAAGAATGTCAGTTACAGTCATGGTATGAAAGCAAAACCTGCTTAAGACTGGAACTTGGTAGCAACCAAATACAGTACCTTAATTTACCTTTACTCTCTTACAACACATCCCCTGCATTGGAGAACTTGAAACATTTTCTTAACCCAAGGTGAACAATTACAGTAGTTTCACTTCTTTTACAGAAGGGTTTTGTTGCTGGCTGGTACTAGCGAACACGCTAGTAACACTTCTATAGTTACGTGTACATTTTTTAATATGAAATAGTCCTTTGCAAAACCAGTTGGAGCAGCGGCAGAGCAGGATAGGCCTGGCTAGTTAACAGAAGCTGCTTCATCTTGTTTTACAATGCTGCCTCTGGCATCAGGTCGCTACTTTTGTTTACCTTCTGGAAAGATGGCAAAAACAAGGTCCTTTAGCTTCTTTGAGGTTTGAGCTGGATATTATTGACTGACATGAAACCGATGCCTCAACATCTGGATTTCCAGGGCATGGCTGTCTCATGCCACAAAGAAATGCCTGGATATTTGGACTTTGGTATATTCAAATTTTTCTGGACACAAAGTTGGTAAAATGATTACTGAACAGATTAAAAATAATTGAATTCAACAGCAACACTATTCCAACAGTGTACTAGACATTCAGTAATCAAACATCTTTAATACATATTGCCAAACAAGTTAATTTATCAATGATTTGAATTTGATATTATTTTGTTTCATAAAACTACAGCTCTCTGTGTTTTGACATTTAAGTCACTGCTGTACTTTTCAATTTTAGATTTGCTGTTGTTTAACTAATTAGAATTTGATTGCAAAGACTTTGGGCACATTTCTGAGAAATTAACTAAATCTAATCATGCTGGTCATTATTTAAGATAATAAATGCTTATTTGGTGTTCTTGTATTTAATGGGCTTATCTCAGAAAACTACTTTTCCTTACCTCTGTATATTTAAAGCATCTTTTTACTCATTTCTTCAGAGAAATTGTCTCTCACAATCAAATCACTGCATTACAACACTGTCCTCTTCAGGAGACAGCAATATCACTTTACAAAGAATTAACTGAACTCTTCACATAACAATGCAAGCACAGAAAAATCCTAGATCCTCTACAAGCTTTGTCACATATGGAAAATATCAATGTTGCAGGCACTTTCCTGAGAATAATGGTTTTCAATTCAAAAACTGGGAGAAAGTCAGGTTTTTCATCAAGAGAAAAACCATCAGAAGGAACGATCATCTTAATCCTGCCTATAGGCAACAAACCATCAAACCTACATTAAGAGAACTGAATCTTTGTGAAGATAATACAACCTCAAAAAGGCCTTCAAAGCTGACAAAACATTTTTGTTCTAATGTCACTGATGTTAAGTGCAGAAACTTTCCAAGGGTAAATGAAATACTAACCAATAAGATGTTTTAAGAGATTCACCTCATTATTCTGAAAAAGATGGAATAAAAATACCGGTGCTCCATTTAAAGGGGAAATGACACAATACCCGAGTCCACAGCCGTGAAAGGCCACAGATCTGACGGCAGGGGCTTCACAATACACAGGGGAAGAGGAGAGTCCGAACACCACGCACCAGGATGACTCCTAGACTCCAGAGGTCACAGGACTCATCGTATCCGTCGTACTTCAGGACCTCCGGAGCGGCGTAATGCAAGGTGAAGCACGGGGTCTTTAACGGCTGATTATCCGGTGGCTTCAGTCGAGCAAATCCAAAGTCTATGATCTTGATTTCAGAGCCGTCGCTTTCATCTGTGAACAGCAGATTCTGGAAAAAACAACAAAACAAAGACAAACCTGAAATCCTGAAGAACCTTTCAAGACACTCCGATTCAAAACACATGAAAACTGAATGACGGACTGAGAGCTTCTGACTGAGTAGTGTGCCAAGCAAGGTCTTTATTCTATAACAATTTAACAATTATTCATTTCAAATTAAAAGGAATTATGCACACATGCTAGTGCAACAGCAGCAATATTCACTGCCCTCCAAAATTATTGGGGCAACAATATCATCTTGGTGCCTCTCTTGAACTTGCATGACCAATTTTATGCATGGAATTTCTGAAACATAACATTTATACTATATTCTATTTAGTCTTCAAATTAATCACATGATCACAAGTACCAATTGTTTGACTGTAAAGTAAAAATAAATTTGCACATATCACATCTGACAAGCCTCCACAGTCAAAGAAAAGAAAATGCCTCAGTTAGCTCCTTTGCAACACAATTTATCATTATTATTATTGTACAAAACCTGCATAATGTTAATATTATAAGAAATAATCTTAATAAGATTTAGGACAGCACCAACAATCGCCAGTTCAGAATGAGAAACAATTTCGTGTGAAATTAACCTCAACACTAACATCACATTCATATTAAAACTTAGACTGCTTTCAGAGAAGTGCACTCACTGATTTCAATTCTACATTGAGAATCCTACTGATAGAGGAAACTGGTAGAAAGTACCATGCAAACACTCTTTTCCATTCAAATCAGGCACTCAGTTTGAAGTTTAACGAAGCAGGGATCAGCACAACACTGAAATGTTATTTTTAGAGATATTCAGCAATGTACTTTGTAGCCTATCATTACTAGAACTCCTTCACTTCCCCAGTCTGAAATGCCATAATTAGAATTTGTTTGAAGGGATGGAAGCCGATTTGGACTACGGCTGTATTTTAATGACCAATGTAGAACAGATGCACCGCCTAAATAGATTTAAAGGGTATGAGAAATACTTCCAAACAGATTAAAAACATATATACAATTTACAGCTTATGTATTGTGGATACAGTGAGGCCCCTCCAACAAGAAAAACTCCCAGACAAAAAGTGCAAAATGCAAGAAAACATGACTTTGTTCTGTCAGGTCTTTAGACTGCCATGTACGGTAATTTGTAAATCAAACAGCTTAATTTCCACAGCAAAGTGGTTAGCATTGCTGCCTTGCAGCACTGGGGCTTTGGGTACAATTCCAAACCTGGGGTGCTATCTGTGTGGAGTTTGCATGTTCTCCTCTGGTTTGTGTGATTTTCCACCGGGTGCTCTGGTTTCCTCCCACAGGCCAAAGAAATTCTGGTAGATTAACTGGCTTCTGAGTGTGTGCAAGTCTGTGTCAGGACTGGCATGCTGTCCACGAATGGATGGATAAACTCCATCTTGGTTCTGAGTGGGCAGATCATAGCTCATGGGAGTGCCGCCTGTCTGTACCTCTGGCTTCAAGTCCCGGTGCACCACCCCGACATCGTGCATGTGGCTAACTGCCGACACCAGCTTGCGCATGATCCGGCTGGCCTCCGTCTCGCTGAAGAGCCGTTTCCTCCGGATCCTCTCTAGCAGCTCCCCGCCTTTCAGCAACTCCAGCACCATAAACGTGTGCAACTGGGAAGGCAACATGAGGCACGGATTCAGAAAACAACCTAGTAACAGAATGGGTAGTGAAACACAAACTACAGGATACTAGTGGAAAGCACATGGAAGTGCGTGCTGAGAACAGGAGGCACTTCTTTACCCAAAGGGTGGTAGGAGTATGGAACAAGCTACACAGCCATGTACAAGCTGATGCCTTGGCACCTTTCAAGAAGAGGCAGGGCAAGAGGACTTCTTTACCCAGAGGGTTCTGTGAGTATGGTACAAGCTATTCAACCATGCTGTTGAAGCTGATACCCTGGTTTCTTTGCAGGAACAGCTGGATGAGATTAATTTGCTACTAACTACCAAATAGGCTAGAATCTCTCCTCTTAATGTAACCATACTTATGTAACTGATCCTTCATAAAGGAAACAGTGATAAACATACTTAACACTGATTTCGAGATAGGGAAAATGATAAATATTTTGAAAAAGGCATATGAACAGTACAAGAAAAAGTCTCAAATTAAAACCATCAGAATTTAACTTTAGTGTAAATGTCAGGGCGAATGCAAGACAGTAAAACATTTATCACTTGCTAAGCTATAAGCAGCAACAGTATTTAAACAAAGTTCTACACTTCCCAAGCAGACAATTTTATAGGCCCTGTTCAGCAAAAAAAGCATTCTCATTTCTGAAACTGTAAAAAAAGCAATATTATCAGATGAGCAACGAAAGCCTCAGTATATTCCATCTGTATTCTGATTTACCTACTACAACTGGAATTAAAAGCTGGTGTCTGCAATAAATCACAGGGAATAATGAATTCTTTTTGGTTTGCCAAAAAAGAAATCAATCTTTGTATCTGAGCTTTAAGTTAAGAGTTATTACATCTCTAATTAGCCCGAGTAGAAGAAGAAAACATGAGAATGTTGAGGGCAGGCCGAGTTGCTAGATATGCTTTGATCTCCCTACTCGCGGAATGGAGATATTGAGATTGTAATAGCCCTGCCAAACTCATCAGCTCTGAAGTGGTGCTCTGCTTTCTCACAGAAATGAATGCATGCAAATGAACCCTTCCAGCTTATTTCTGTATTGAGCCCACTGATGCAGCAAGCTGGAAGTGGTCAAATACAACAGCGGCAGCTTATGAAATAATCTTTCTGGGGCCAGCTGCTTATTATCCACAGTGGCTGCCTTCCCACTACACTGATGTAAACAATTTTTTATATTTAACAAGAGTGTGTTATAGAAAACATCAGTCTTAAACAACCTTTTCTAATTATAATGCAGCTAGAGGCCTCTATGTTTCTCTACTCAGACAATTGGATATGTACTCATACAACATCGTAGATTGCACAACATTGATTTAATTGAATTTAATTAATTTAATGCAAAGTTCGACCTCCTAGTTCACTGACTGGCAAGAACCTAAATTCTGGGTCTAGTCTCAAACAGTCTGAGCACAGGTAAAACGTGTAAAGAGACTACTAAAGAGCAAGCACAGTAAATTTAGTCAAAAGCTTGTTAATATGGAAATCAAATAGTGTAAAATCAAATTGATTATTTCCCTGAAAACATTAACATAATTGGTATGAATAATTACAAAATAATAATATTTCGTTCAAGAAACAAAGGATAAATGCCCCATAGACTGGCCCTACACTCCAGTAAAAACTACCATGTCAGAGAATTCAGATCCAAAGTGCACAGTAGTTCTGAAAAGAAGCTTGTTTTTTAAATACATCTTGAGTTTTCTCTCATGAATTGTCCGCTTTCTCTCATATACATTGTAGCTGACAATCTACACTCGTAGAGCTGCACTGAATTTTACTGATAATGGAGCACAGTTTCCAAGTACTGTAGGCGTTAAGTGACTACTTTTGTTTTGTTTTGTAAGAAGTCAAAGGTCAGCTAGTCTTCAGCCAGAATGCTTATTGGCTATTGGTCAGCTTTCCCTTGCAGGATTAGGCTGGAGACTTTCTTCCCATTATAAAACTGGGACATTCTCTCTATATATCAGCCAATGTGACAAAGGCTGAGTGAAAATCTACTATAAGTTACCAAAAATATCAAGTTATATTTTTACAGATTTGAGCTGTCTACACCTTTGAAACGTGTCTGTGCACCACAAAACAGCTCCCCTGACCACTGCTAAATATTTCTCTCAGTAATTGGCTGTGCTGCCATGTAAAGCTGTCAGCTCCAGTTCAATCTTATGAAAGCAAAGCAGCAGTTTTCTGTCAGAGTTGATTAAGTATGGGCTGTATTCTATAGCCTCAGAACATGGCTGAGCCAATAAACAATAATAACTTTTCCTTGCACAATGTTGACGGGGGTCAACAAAGGCCAATGGGTGCCCTTAAAAGAATCGCCAAATACTTTACAAAACCATTAAATTAAGTGGAACCATCATGTAGCACATTGCGTAGAATTAAATCTAATTTTAAGAAAAAGAGCACGAGCCTTGCTCTTCCAGGCAGGTTTAAAACTTAAATTTGAGAAAAAGAATTGCTGACACCATACAATTAGGTAACTGCAGAGAAATTCGCCCTGGGAGAAATTCTGGCTCGCTTTGTGAGGCATCCAGCAGGAATGGAGTCAGTTCTCGCTAATGAGCAAGCTTTTTTTTCTCTGACAACTACCTGTTCCTCTCAGATTGCGGGCAAGCAAAATACAGTATGCCTGATTTACAAACAGCAAGGCAGAGACTGGAGTTGCTCAGGAAGCCATAGGAAACCATTGTTTTTGTCTTGAAAAATAAAAAGAAAAGTGATAGTGTCATCTCACAATAAAGTTGAAACATAAACTGTATTAAAAAATTACCTGATCGTGATAAATGTCATAAACCTTCACAATGTTGGGGTGCCCATCACAGAGTTTTAAAGCTGCTATTTCCTTGTGAGTTTGTGCTTCCATTCTAAGAAAAAAAGATACAAGTATAAAAAGTCAACATTTAAAGCAGGGGATCTCAAGCCCTGGTACTGGAAAGCTCCAATCTAGTATGTTTTGTAGGTCACCATTAACTTGCCCATTATTAGAGACAAGGAGGAATTCCATTGTGATTATTAAACTGGTGTTTTGTTAAATTAAGAAATGTCAAGATCATTTAGTGTTCTTCAACACTAAAATTCTATGAATTCTATTTATTCTTCAACCCTTAAGGTTCAAAGCTCTCTTAATTGAACAGATCACTTGCGTGATTCAGCAATAGCTTACAAGTGACATATATAAAACAGGACTGTGATTCTCCAAGACAAGTTTTGAGGCGCTATTTCAGAAATACTAGAACACAAAATCTGAGGAATTTTACTGATTCAATATCCTCAAAATTACAGTTACTATCATTCCTATTTAAAACAGTTGGTTTCTGAACTATCAAAGCCACATAGCCTCTCTTGTGCACACCAAGTTGTTGTTGAACAAAAAGAGCTTCAAAAACTTGTAAAAGTGAGAACTTTATGAAAAGTCTTAGATTTAGGTTATCGCAAGTACAGGTGTAGAGCTAGGATAGTGTCCATAAGACAGTATTCTGACAGAGATCACTGGATGTTTGCCTTGAAACAACAAGCTTTTTTTAAAGAATACTTCAACAGAAAGTTCAGTTCTTTAACGGAAGCTTTACAACAGCCCCTAAACAGACTGGACAATCAGTAGCACAACAATTTTAATAATAGCAGATAAGTGGAAAAAAAATCATATTTTTTTCACCAGCATTTACATCAAGACATTTTTTGCATCTGCCAGTCAGTTAAAAAACTTCACTAACATGTAGAGTGGCTCATCAGGAAAAGCTTATCTTGCAGTAGCTTAGCAACAGGACCTGATTCTTCCCAAGAAGGAACGTGTCCACTGCTGGTTATCCCCAGAGAAGTCTGGTACAATTTATACGACATGGCAGACAGAAGCAATCAGCTAACTTGAAGGATCAAAGAGCGATGCGATGGATGTTTTGGCAAATCCTGACACATCAGGATCCTGAAAACATCACCCAAAGGGCTACCGTACAGCTGATAGAGGTAAGAGGGCTCAGAGGTAATTCGGGAGACCTAGTTGTGTCATGATATTGCACTCACACAGGAGAGCAGGTTAATTTTGCGCAAGTGAAAACGAAGAGGAGAAAACACAAATGCTTAATGTTTCATTGCACTTAACAGTAAACAGGTCCATCGCTGCTGTGCATCATAATTGTGCTCTCTGCCCATGGCAGAGGATGAAAAAATAGGCTGGTACCTTTTGCTGATGATCTTCACTGCGTAATCCTGGCCTGTTTTCTTATGGGTGCACTTCCTGCAGATGGAAAAGCTTCCCTCCCCAAGCGGACTGTCTTTCAAGTCTAAGTCATAGTGCATATAAAACAGGGAGTCCTGCAAACAGGAGAGAGGGTATATGAAAGATGAGGGAGGCTATTGCTTCAAAGTCAACTTCTTAAACAAAAAACAGTTTCGGGTTTTTGATATCTTTGACTATGAAGTCATCCACGAATGATAATGATTGATATCTCCCACTGTGGTAAGTCTGCAGCTCACTGACTGACTGAACATGTTTGGGATAACACTGAAGTCACCCACAGACACAAAATAGCTTTCAATAGAAGGTCTTTGTATAAGAGAACGGCCAATAATTTAGATTATAGGGGACAAGTCAGAAGGTTTCTGGTTTTCCTTCAACCTGAACCCTTACCTAGCTAATTGAACTCCCTTTGTGCTCACTTAGACAAGTTGAAGCTTTTCCTTGTTCTTGAGAAGGAGATCTAAAGAGACATAAAACCTGCCGCACAGTGACTGTTGCAGTTGGGCAACCCTGGTTTAAATTTTCTTGAGCAAGAAGCAGATGAGGGCAGGAGAATGTGGTTTTATAAGATTTACTAAAGTGGCCAAATAAGACCACATTTTTATAGACTTTTTAAGTATTTACAGTTAAAAAACTCACAAACTATAATCCTGATACCAGGTATTAATGGATCAGTCTGTTTACACGCTTCAACAGGCCTCAAACACGATCCTGATCCCACTTTCACCAAACAAACACGAAACGGAGCCTCTCCCTCCATTTCAATAACCCTGCAGGTGAGACACTAGATGTATGAGAAAACTTTACACTTCACTGCCACTCCCACACCTGACCAATGTGTCACTCAAAGTAGTGCCATTCCAGTACTCCTGTTTGTATCTTCTCTTTCTTGATTAACTGCAACATTGTTGACTGAGCAAGCATATTGTTGCATGAAACAGTGATGATTTGGGTATTTCACCAATTGCAAAGCATTGTTTTGCCAAAACCTTAGTCTGCTTTTTAGAAGCAAACAGAAAAAATGCTGCGGTAAAGAATCACAGCCCATCAGCATTTGCTGCATCACCAAACATCCAAATGTTTTTTATGCAGCCAATGGCTGGCTGTCATGCCTGATACTCAGAGGAGGAGTGAGCCGCCCTCCTGTTAACTACATGCTGGATTATTCAATGATAGGGCTCTGTGTTCTCTCACCTTCATCATGGCACTGCGCGCCACAGCTGTGGCCCCGGGCCTCTCGGCACCCCCGTGAAACTGGAGAGGGTCATTCATCACGGCGTTGCGTTTGAACAGAATGGAAGGAGCAATGAAGGAGTAGCCCTGTGACACAAACACATTCATAAGACTACAAGTGGACCTGACAGAAGTATTCCAAATCCTCAGACAAAGTCACTGACAAAGCCAACCCAAAGGAACTCTTCAAAATGAATAGTGAAACACGAACCAGAGGACACAAACAGAAACTACCTGGAAGTGCATTAAAAAGCGAGAATAGGAGACACTTCTTTACCCAAAGGGTTGTAGGAGCGTGGAACAAGCTACCCCAGCCATGTGGTTTAAGCCTATACTCTGGCTTCTTCCAAGAAATAGCTGGATGAGATCCTTGGATCAATTAACTACCAAATGGGGTTTGATGGTTTCCTCTAATATTTAACCATCTGTTCTTAAATATTCTATCCAGACATGTGTACCAAAGCACAGCAATAGACCACAAGCATGTAAAGGCAGTGAAAGGTAAACTATATACTCAACCAATCAGGGAAAGAGTTCAAATACACTGATATTCCTATCATCTCTCTCAAAATAATGTACTTTCTTTGGCTCATGAAAATGTCATTGTTCCAGGGGTATCCATAATTCAGATTATATAATAATCTAATGCAGGACTGTAAAATACCTGTTATTAATTAAATTAATAATGATTGACCAAGTTATCAAGAATTGGGGAGCATCACAATATACTTTTTTTTCAAAAAGGCTAAAAAGATGCATTAATATATACATAAGCATAAAGAGACAGCCTAAATCACATCATGTTCTTTAATTCTGTAAATGCATCTCTCTGTCTGGAGTCTTTATAAGTCACGTTTCATGTTCACAAGTTAAATAATCTTCCCTTTATCGTTATACAGCAAGAACTCATTTTCATCCAATTTTGCTTTGTGAGCTTTGAAATGGTAAAGGTTTCTTTCTAACAGCTGCATGGAATGAACTGGAAATGATTGATAAGACAACTTTCTTAATTGCTGCATTTCATATTTGATTGCTTACTTTGATATTCCACTGCAGTCTATGTAATGCCATTTCATTTCATTTGACAAAAGACACAGTGATAAGCTAAGTTTCCAGGCTCGACCTCTGAATTGGTGTTTGCAAAAAAGAGGGGTAAAAAATGAATGGCTCTGAACAGCTAAAAGCCAAGAAGAAGTTGGCAATCAGATGCTGAAAAATAATTAAGGAAGACACATTTTACAAATGCAAACCGTTCAATTTTGAGCAATGCCCTATAATAGATCTATTGATCTGGTAGACTCTATAGAAGTACAAGGATCAAAAAGCATAGAATATTTAGTGTAATATGAAATCAGTTGGCTTCAATAGCACAGTGTCAAATTATTCCACTATCCATAAGTTCAAAAGCTGCATCGTAATGTATTTTACGTCTGAGATCTTTTGGTAAATAAAGTAAAATTATACAGGCTGAGACTGTAACAATTATTTCAATATTGAAGCTATTTTTTAAATAACATCTTCAGTTCCTGGATTGCTTTCACATGACAGTTCATCAACTTAAATGAAACAAGACATTTTTGATATGCCCTCTGTTCCCACGAACAGAATTGTGAATTAAAGAAACAAAATCTGCCCTATACTACAGCGCATAAAAAGGCTTCTCGTAACTATAAACTAGAATCCTCCAACATCACTGTCATCAGTATTTATGTTGGTCATGAAGACTTGTATTGATTTTTTTACATAATAAATATATACACAGTGGTGTGAAAAAGTGTTTGCCTGATTTCTTATTGTTTTGCATGTTTGTCACACTGAAATGTTTCAGATCATCAAACAAATTGAAATATTAGACAAAGATAACACAAGTAAACACAAAATGAAGTTTTTAAATGAAGGTTTTTATTATTAAGGGAAAAAAAATCCAAACCTACATGGCCCTGTGTAAAAAAGTGATTGC